CCGACCACGCCCCCTTAGACGCCAGCTCCCTCACGACTCTCGCGGGGCGAGGGTCGTCCTCCCCACCCCGCAACGAAGTGGGGCATCGTGATGTGGGGGTGCGATACAGCGGGGCCCTGGGTCTCCTCACACCTTGTCCAGATACACTTCCGGGTCGAAGTGCGCTCCGTTCAGGTCGGTCGGGTCCAGGGGGTCCGGCCCTGCGGGTCGCCCCGCCGCCTCCCCCTCCGAGAGGCCGTAGTACAGCTTCAGCATCCCGTGCGCTTTCCGCCGCCTCTCGGACGCCTCGGGCTCGGGGCTTTCCGGGGAGTCCCCCGGCCCCGGCCCGGCCGCCACCGCCGCCATCGCGTCAGCCGCAGCCCCCGGGCGGGAAGTGGGGGAAGGGAGTGGGAGGAGACACTTCCGGGAGCCCTGCAGCCGGCGTGGAGACGTCGTCGTCCTGCGCCGGAAACGCTCCCAGCAGCCCTGCGCACGCAGACTTCCGTCCCCGGCGCCCGCCTCCCCGAGCGACCCGGTTCCGGGAGCTCCGTGCCCGGCCGGGCTTCCCGCGGAGAGGAGCACGTGCAGCGGCCGCCGCCCCGCGTGTCTCCCCGAGGACGACGGCGCGTCGTGGCGCCCCGGCCCGGCAGTCGCCGGCAGCAGCCCCCCGCGCGGCCGGAGAGAGTGGGGTTCTGCCCCTGCCTCCGCTTCCCGCGTCTCTGAAAGGGGACTGCACACTGAGAAGGCCGACTCAGCAAATCCAAGTGACTGAAGGCGTGTGCCGCGAGTGGGGGGAAACTGGAGACTAATTCGTAGGTTTCTGACTTTAGGTGAACTTGCGCATGGGCAAGATGGCTTGGAGTTTAGATTCAGACACGCTGCGCTTGAACGAATGGAAAGGAGAAAAACACTGTTCATCTAAGCGTATTTGAAGAATTAATTATGATATGCTGGAGGAAGGGAGGCTAAACTGGGGGGAGACACAAAAATAGATAGGGAATTCCTATGTGCCCTAAGTTTTATTGGAACACGGACGTATCATCCATTTGTGAAGAAACAGGTGACTATTTGGGGGTGACTGCTTTTGAAGCATTGCGCAGTGGCAGCAGAGACACGTGGCCCACAAAGCCAAAGCCATTTACGATCTTTGCCCATTGAATGGGCAAAGTCTGGCAATCCCAGAACCTGTTGTCATCGACTCCACTGCGTGGTGTTCGTTCCTGTGGAGAAGGGACACAGCGACAGAAGGAAACACCGCCCAGTCCTGCGCCAGCCTCACAATCGCTCTAATGTTTGAGCCCATTGCTGCAGGCAGTGGGTCAGTCCGTCTCGTCCAGGTCTTCCTCTTTTTCGTGGCCCCTCCGCATCACTAAGCAGGATGTCCTTTTCCAGGGACGACCCTTCTGATAGCACGTCCGAAGTACGAGACCACGTCTCACCATCCTGATTTCTAAGGAGCCTTCTGGCTGCCCTCCTTCCAAGACTGGCTTGTTCTTTTGGCAGTTCAGGGAACTCTCGATATTCTTCGCCGGACCACCATCCACCTGCATCGAGTCTTCACTGTGTGAGAGATGCCTCCCTTTGTGTGAGAGTGGACCTGTGCTGCGTAGCATTTTTTTAAAATTATTTATTTGTTTTTAAAACATTTTATTAGGGGCTCATACAACTGTTATCGCAATCCATACACACATCAATTGTGTAAAGCGCATTTGTACATCATTCTCAAAACATTTTCTGTCCACTTAAACCCCTGGCATTAGGTCCTCATTTTTCCCCTGCTGTATAGCATTTTTAAGAGTAGATCTCCCCGGATGCTCCTGGGTAGAGTCCAGCGGCTAGCTTTTCGGTTAGCAGACTAGAGCTTTCATCATTGGCACCACCCAGGGATAACCATCCCTGAATCCATGGAATGTTAAGAGGCCGTTTAAAAATACAAATTTCTGGGGTCTTAAAGGCTTGAAGACAAACAAGCGGCCACCTAGCTGAGAAGCAACAAAGCCCATATGGAAGGAGCACACCAGCCTGTGTGATCATGAGGTGTAGATGGGATCAGGGATCAGGCATCAAAGACATAGAAAAAATCCTATCGATGTGAATGAGGGGGAGTGCGGCATAGGGAGACCCAAAGCCCATCTATAGACAATTGGACATCCCCTTATGGAAGGGTCACAAAGAAGAGATGAGCCAGTCAGGGTGCAGTATAGCACTGATGAAACATACAACTTTCCTCTGGTTCTTTAATGCTTCCTTTCCCCCACCCCCACCGCCCCATTATCATGACCTCAATTCTACTTTACAAATCCGGCTAGACCAGATCATGCACACCGGTACAGGTACAGATAAGAGCTCGCAACACAGGGAATCCAGGACGGATAAACCCCTCAGGTCCAATAATGAGAGTAGCAGTACCAGGAGAGGAAGGGGAAGGTGGGGGGAAGAACAGGGGAACCAATCACCATGATCTACATATAACCCACTCCCAGGGGGTGGACAAGAGAAAAGTGGGTGAAGGGAGGCATCAGTCAGTGTAAGACATGGAAAAATAACAATTTATAAATTATCAAGGGTTCATGAGGGAGGGAGGGGACGAGGGGGAAAAATGAGCTGATACCAAGGGCTCAAGTAGAAAGAAAACGTTCTGAAAATTATGACGGCAACATATGTACAAATGTGTCAATGGATGGATTGTGATAAGAGCTGTACGAGTCCCTTATAAAATGAATTTTTAAAACTACAAAGATTTTGGCTTATGGAGACAGACAAGCAAGGTCGAGGTTGGAGGGAGGATGGGTAAGTTTTCTCAACAATATCCGTGTAGAACAGCTCTTGGCACCCTCAGAGGAGGAGCAAATGAATTGTCCTGATAACTCTGGGGCAGATTTCCTGGCCTGCAGTTTTCATTTTCTTTCTAATTAGTATCATTGTTATTATTTTCTTTCTAATAAATCCCTGTGATCACCCCATCCTTCAAGAAAATCCATCAAGATTATTCCTTTAAAATTACAACAAAAAGTTACCATAACTTTCTGAGCTGACCTCTTTACACTGTGACGATACTTTATTAAGAGCAAAGATGTTCCATTCATTTACAAATGATTACTAGTCAAATAGGAAATAACAAGTCAGCTATCTTCCACGGACTTTTAACCACGATATTGTAAATCTGAGACGTGTAGCCGGTTGTCATTTAGTGATTTTTTTAACAATTTCGATACAACCAGTCACGAAATAGCAAAATATCAGGACCCTTCGTGTTAGTAAGGAAAACGATCTTTCACTCTCTCCCTGCCGTCCAGTCGATGTCAGTGCACAGGGACTCCGTAGGACAGGGTAGAACTGCCCCTGTGAGTTTCCCAGACGGTTTATGGGAGTAGAAAGTACGGTCTTTAGAAAGAGGCCTGGCTTTCTCCGAGCTGCTGATGGTTTCAGACGGCAGACCTTGTGGCTTGCAGCCCAAATCCTAAGCTCTGTGCCATGAGCACTCAGTAAAATCAATGTTAAATAAATAAATGGGTAAGAAATTTATACGATTTCATCTTTTATTTTTAACCAACTATAATTTTATCAGTTATGAGAGTATGGAATTTAGTGGTCTTAAGTTGTTAAAAATATGGGCTTAAATAATCCTCTTCTATACCGGCTAACATTTTGGAGAGCAAGCTACTAAAAGAATTGCTTAATGATTGAACTATGGAATGGCATGATGTCTGGTTTAGCTCCAAATACAAACGGTTTGGGGAAGAAAAAAGAGGAATTCCTTGGTGAGCCATGTTATGCTACTCCCGTGTTTACAGCGGGCTGAGTGAGGTGAGGGAAGTACAGAAATACAGGCTTCTTGCTCCAGGTATTAACACGTCCTTGGAGCTGGCCCAGCCTGACTAAAACTTAACCAACCCTGTTACACATCAAGACGGTCAGACACACATCATTTGCAAGGCTGGGCCTACCCCGAGTGAGAGATTTCTCAAATTGCCCATGCTCCCTATTGTTTTAAACATTGGGTAGCTCCCGTCTAATAGAGAGGTCTGCAAAATTGCATTTTTGTAACGCCCCTGCCACCGCTAGCCACCCCATCTCCACCACCTTCAGTGTGTCTGCCTCCACAGTGAGGAACTGAGGCCATCTGTCTCCTGCCCCATCACTTTCCGGGAAAGCACCCTCGTGAGACTCAGACCAGTCTGTCATTCAGAGAGGTGTTTGCGGCCTTCACTGACTGGTGTGTAAACATGCTGTTTGCATAAGGTGACCAGATTTAAAGCGGGACACCATTGGCCTGGGTGGGGGGGGGTGTTGCTTGATTAAAAATTTGGTCTATATGGACCAAATAGACCGTTCCCTAGCTTGTCGTGCATTCTTTTCAAAAATCGGGACTTTTTAAAAACGCCAAAAAGCAGGGCTGTCCCACCAAAAGCAGGACGTCTGGTCACCTTATAATTTGCACCAACTGTATGCCACTCGCACCGGGAACCTTTGTTTGTTTTTTGTTTTCCTTACTGCAGGGTCTCTAACTCCCACCAAACGACCTTTGCCTGCATGGGTCTAGGACAGTGGTTCTCCACCTTCCTCATGTCGCGGCCCTTTAACATAGTTCCTCATGTTGTGGTGACACCCCCCCCCCCAACCATAAAATTATCTTCATTGCTACTTCAAAACTGTAATTTTGCTACTGTTATGAATCTGGCGACCCCTGTGAAAGGGTTGTTCAACCCCCAAAGGGGTCAAGACCCACAGGTTGAGAACCGCTGGTCTAGGCAGAAAGTGGAGAAATATACTGATGGGATTCACCTGTGATTGCGAACAGGCTTCCCAGGAGTGTTGTCTGCTGTGTATAAAGTGAGGCTTCTGAGAAGCAGGAGGGATCTCGTTACCAGCAAAGGCCAGGAGTGGAGCTCCCTGTGCAGTGAACCTCCTGGATCCGGATGACAGCTAGACCCTCAGAGGAGCTGCAGGAGAACCAGAGCCAAAGCTTGGAACAGTGGGACTTCCCAACCCACAGAGCAAGTTAAGTGCTTTGGTGCAAGAGGCTGGCTTGCAGAGTAGGCTGCCTCTGGGCACTTAATTGGGGAAGATGGCCTTGCTGACCCACAGAAGTGGAGGTATCTTTGGGCTGAGGTTTGCTGGAGTGGGATGCCTCTGGGAACTTTTTAATTCAGGGAGCTGGGTTTTCTGACCCTCGGAACTTGAACTAAATGCTTTCAGGTTGAGGCCTCCAGCAGTGGTGTGCCTCTTTGGGCACATATTAGCAGACCTGAAACTTTAACATGTTCTGGTAAACTACTCTGAGGCTTCCTCACTGCCGTTACAACTTGTTAAGCTCCTTAATAAGCCCTTTAATCATGAATTCTGAGTTTCTGTGTAGCCATTGCCATTGAAAGCAGAAACTAGAGAGATGTTTGGGGGGAACTTGCGGCTTGGTGGAGGTCCAATGGAAAGGGGCCCAGAGTCACCACATATTTAGTACCTTGGTGCTCACCTCACAGTGACAAGTTCGATCTGCTAGGTAGGGATCTGCACTTGGAAGAACTGATCGAGGAAGATCCCCTCCCTGCCCGGCACCAATCCCGACTTGAGTAAACAGAGCACAATCAAATGGAAGACTGACTGTGTAGAAACAACTCGTGGGTGTGGCTCGAGGTGGAGATGTGCTCACATAGACTCCCTCATACCAAGTTTTCAGAGGGCTGTGGCATGGTGACACTGGTGTTCTCAGCGCAGTCGCCTTATATCCTGGGGGATGAGCTTGTTCTGGGTGCAAATATTTCTTGTGCATTCCATGACAAACGTCCTTCCCTGGCTTTCTAAAGATCGAGGGTGGTCTTTTCTTTTTTACTCATTATTTATATTTTTATCTTTATATCTGTATCATTTGATCCTTATCACTTTGTTTTTATTGGGTCTCCCCACAGGAGTAGATGCATAAAGATAATAACTGACGCAATGGCTTATAGGGGATATAGTGGTGGGGGTGAGATTCCGGGAGTAAACAATGAAGGTGGGAGGGGGGGGGAGCACGAGAAGTGATTCTGATTACACAACTCATGTGAAAGGCAATTTAGCCACGGGGAGAAATGTTCTAAAATTGATTGTGACGATTATTATACAATTCTTCTTGATATGCCTGAATGATTGACTATTGAATTGTATGCTATATGGATTAGGTGCCAATAAAAATGTGGAAAAAAAACAAACTAGAAAGGTGAAATAGTGCCATTATTATTTTTTTTTCTTTTTGTGAGTGAATGAATGAGAGTGAGTGAGAGAGTGAGTAAGTGAGTGAATGAGTCAGTCGAAATAGTGTCCATTAATCAAGACAATACACTTACCTTTGTATCATCTCAAGAAAATGAAGACTTTAAGGCTTGGGGCTACTCAAAGAATTCTATCAACTTGATGCCATTAAGGAAAATTATCCAAAATTTAGTGTGCGTAGTACACCCTTTCAATGCCATTAAATAAGGTACTGTTTTCACACGCTCATTCAGGGGTTATGTAACTATCGTGTTATTACTAAAGGACTATGGAACATGTTAACTTCCAGATACTGTTCATGAGATGAAAAAAAATTACACCCAGTAGAGAGAAACCTCAACGGGTATCATTTTACTGGGGGCACAAACCAATTTTCGAGCTCCCCTTGCTACCTTATCCTGACTTCCATTAAACCGCCTATCCCCCTGTGCCCTGCACGGGAGTCCCCTCCCTGGTCTACTCCGAGCCCCTACATGTGTGTTGTCTTCAGAAGTCCTGGTTTACGTTTTTGAAGATTACACTTAACCAAGTGGAGTGGTTTTAAAAAAGTGTTCTTAGAATGGTGCACCTGTGGTTGTGGGTGGGGCCCCGCAGCCTGGATTCCTGCCACTGTCAGGAGATGCAGCCTATTGTGTGCTGTCTCCTGGAGGATGGTCCTCCCTTTCACCGTCCCTGTTAACAAGCACGATGCCCTGGGGCTGGTTCCCTCCTACTGCCGTGCCCACAGCACAGGAAGCAGTCTCCTCAAACCCCCCCCCACCCCCAACTTGTTCATCTGGCAGCCTGGGGCACATCCAGACATCAACGCTTCTCTGCTCCACCTCACTCTCTGTTCTGTTCTTCCCTACAGGAGGCAACCAAAAATACCACCGGTCCCGAAACACTGGAGTCGTCAAAGTGACATCTTTGCTCTTGAACGCTTTCCAGAGGTTCTGGGTTTTGCAGATTTGCCCAGTGCAATCCGTTGTGGAGCCAGGGATAGCGCCATCTTGGACCACGCCGCTCTTTCTGCGCGGTCAGTGTTGCTTAGCCGGCTGCGGTAAATATTTTCAGGAAGCTGTGGGGTTGGATCCTGGTCCATCCCCACGTGCCGTCAAGCCCTCCAGCAAGGGCGTCCTCTGCATCTCATCAACCTGACTCCGTGCTTCCTGGGTTTTTGGGTAACTCTGTCTTACATGGTCACTCACAAGTTTTACCTTTTTGTCTTCGAACGTGTGTACATTATTAGCCTTTTATTTTACTTTTCTTATAAATCCTTTAATTGGGAGCTCTTACAATAAGCCACACACCCGTGTGCCCGGCACATTTGTACACGCATGGCCATCATGCTTCCTCCATTCTGGACTCTCTGCAAACCCCAGTTTCTCGGGTCATTGGCTCAGCATACGGATTAAATAAGTATGGTACAAAGGCACCTATCTGATGCTCAGTTTTCCTGATATTAATGCATCTCCTTATTCTGTCCAAAGATTGCCTCTTGGTCTATGCACAGGCTCTTCGCAAGCACAGGCAAGTCTTCTAGAACACCGTTCCTTGTGAAGACCCACACAGCCGCTAGCCTTTTCAGAGTCAATCAAACCCAAGTGAGTAGCTTTCTGATAGTCGCAGCTCTGGGCCGAGTCAGTCTGCCATCCTCAGAGGTACCTCTCCTTCCCGGCCCCTTCTCAATCTGACAGCTAGCTCCCTGTCGGCGCCTCATTTTTTCAGATCACCATCTGCCAAGTCTTATTAGGTGTGATAAAAAGACGGCTCGCTCATTTCTGCATTTCACTGGGTCACCTTGCTCTGAAATGGGCACAAACACAGATCTTTCCAGTCGGTTGACCGGTAGCTGGCTTCCAATTGGCTTGGTGTCGATGAGGGACCTCAGTTTCAACAACAAGAGTGTGGGTGTCCGATGAGGGCATCACTTGATGTAGTGAAGGGGGTCCTGAGGGACTGCTGTGACATCAGCAAGCACAGATGGTGGACACAAGACCAGTCACCGGCTTCTGGGATTGGCCTGACCTCGGAAGCAGTCGGCAGGCCAGGTAACCAGGCGATTAAGGAAGCTGAGTTTAGTGCCAAGCCCTTTTCTCCTTACTTTCGCTACTTCCATTCCTGGAAACCTGTCCTTCCTATTATGTGCCGCCACACCGCCGCCGGCTGTAATTTGGGGCTTACTGGGTTGATGGTCTGGAATGTTCGCCTCTCCACCTGGGCAGGAAACGTTGTCCCCCTGCCTGTGCACCAGTCTCGGCTGGACTCCGATCTCTCTTGGGGCAGACTCTCCCCACACACTGGATGCGGAAGGACAAGCAAAAGAATCCCTTTCTGTGGCCCCACTGCGGTGCAAAACGGCGTTGATGCCACCAGCCCCAGCTGCTGGGTTGGAGGCGACAGGTGTGAAAATGCTTTGAGCACCTGAGGGTGGCCAAGAGAACAGGGCCAGCATGGGGTCTTCAAGAACTATCTGGGATGATCAAAGAGCCAGGTGTTCCTTGGCGATGGCCTGGGGAAGCTACTGGGACTAACTGCCAAGGGACAGACACTATGGTCTCTTCCCTGGGTCCTCCTCCCCAGGAACTGGAGCAAACACTAAGAACCTGGGGCTCTGCTGCACACCTGGAGCGCCACCTGCTGTACACCTGGTTCCCAGTGATCCCCTTAGATTTGCTGCGGGCCTGCGAGCCAGCCCTCGGCTCTTCAGAGACCATCGTCGCTGGCACAAGGTGCCCACTACTCTTCCGTGACCAGGCCCAGGAGGGATGCTGGACAAGTGCGAGGTGGGATGATGGGCCAAGAGTGCTGTCCCTTCACCACGGGACAGGTCCCCACTGGCGGAGTTACCTTTCATGGCATCCTGGTTCCCTGTATGAGCAGGCACTCAGCCCGTGTTCTGGAATCTCACCTCCTGACATCCTCCTGGTTCTAGAACGCAGCAGTTCTCCCAACTAGTCGGCTCGGGAAAACGTGGGCTCTGCTCCGGAGGTGGGCGGAGGGAGAGGGGGGGCAATCTTTGCCAGGGAGCCAAGCCCACACAGCCTCTAGTGCCCGGCTCTCGCCTCTGCACATGCCAGGATGCAGTGGCGGGAACGCCTGGCCATCCTCTTCTTCCCACAAGGCCTGATACCCACCTTGGCGGCCATGTTGCTCTTCCTCATCCACCTTGGGATCTTTGCCAATGACTTGCACAACTTCTACGTCTCCTACCGCTATGACCTCATGAGCTTCAAATACACGACCTTCCTCGTAGTAGGTCTGAGGGCCAGGGCTGGTTGGCAATGGAAGGAGGGGGGAGGCAGGAGAGGCTGGAAGAGCCCTACTGTTGGTGGGAGGGCTCCCCTGGCCTCCCAAACACCCCCACCCCCTGGGTGGGCCTGCAGTTTTCCCAGGTCATCGGCATCTCCTGGGCTGCTGTGGGGACACTCCAAGCCGAGATGGCAGATGACAAGGGTCTTCGCATCTTTGGCCTCACGATCCTGGGTGAGCCAAGGCTAGGCCTGGGCCTCGGATGGATGGGAGGCAGGGCGGGGCGGGGCAGGGACAGGGCACTAGGCACCAGCCTGAAGGAGCTCTCGCCCACACTCAGGGCTCAATGGACTCCTGTTCTTCAGCCGCCTGGCCCTGGACTTCCTGGCCCTCAAGTACCGAAGGGAGTACCACTGAGGCCTGGAGGCCCGGGCCGGCAGGGAAGGAAGAGGCAGCTCGGGTGTCGTAATAAAGTCTGTCATTTATTTCCACCTGTCAGCTCCTTCACAGGCGGGACGGGAGGCTGGAGGGGCCAGGGGAAGCGGGTCATGACAAGGCCTTGAGCTGCGAGGACCCCAGGTGCCGCTTGCAGCCCCTCTGGGGCTGTGGACTCGGCTTGGGGCCTGGGTTCCTAGTGTCTTGGGCTGTGGGAGGGTGGGGTGGGCCTCAGGCCTCCCCGTCTTTGGCCCCCAGGTCCCAGGCTGCCGCTGCGAGCTCAGGAGGGCCCCACCCGGATGTGGGGGTTCATGAGCGGGTCCAGGTTGGGGTCGCTATCAGCTGCGGCCCGGCCCAGGCGTGACAGGAGGGCCAGGAGGGCCAGGAAGCCCAGCAGCCCCAACAGGAGCAGCAGCCCGGCCCGCTGCAGTAAGGTCAGCGGCCGCTTGCGAGGCCCGGCCCGGCTCCTGGTGGGTGGGAAGAGTCCCGTCAGGCCCTGCCTCTCCTCGAGGGGAGCCCCAACA